CGCTCGTCGTGCCTTGCTGTGGCGAGGCACTCGGTGGCCAGCACAGAGTTCACACGGCGTGGCACGCTTTCAAGGATGAACAAAACCTAAGCGAACCTTTTGGTGGATGAAACTTAAGATGACTTTGATGTTTGCTAGAGTAGTCAGAAAAAAACACACACTTCTTAAATAACTTTTCTTTTTGTCGTTGTTGATGCCTGAGTATTCCTCCAGCATGGGATGTGATAATGGAGGAAATAAAAGGTACAAGACTTCATTCTGTTAATTCTGTTTATTGGATCACAGAATGTAGTTTTGGAAGTTACTGGACCTCACCTTAAACTCATTTGTTGCTCAAGGAAGGAGCAATAGTGGGAAGAGACAACTAAAACTTGTCAGACACCATATTGTGTCTTAAGCATTTTATTACAAAGTCTTTTAGGATTGTGTCCTTCATCTTTTTTTAATCTTGATGTAATGTCTGCTAAAAATTGGTATACCTTCTCAAAACAACCATCCGTGTCTCCTGTGTGTGGAACTGACAGTTACACAGACCATGCCTATCGCTTGCAACAGTGGATCATCTCAGTTACTAGTTTAGTGTGATTTGAGGAATTGACAATACTCTCTTTCACTCTTTGTAAGAGCGATTGATGTTATTTGGGCTAACAGACTTTTATAATGATTAATTCACTGACTGATTTTTCTTATGACCTTCAGTATGAAGGTTCTCTGTCTAAATTAAGGAAAGGAGGCACTACAGAAAGTACAACTAAGTGTTGTGAAAGACTGGAGTTGGGGAGGTAAGCATAAGGAGGTAGCAAATTAACTTTTATATACTAACAGCAAATGTCAAATCACTTGTAGAATTCTAAGTAGTTAGCATGAGGATTTTTTTAGCAGAGACACTCTTTGTAAATGAGTGAAACATGCAAAACACATGTATTTGTTGGTGAACTCTAATGAGTCATACTACAAAGAAAACAGAAATACCACCACTACTACAATGGTGAGGGGTAAGGTACGATATGATTTGTAACAAAGTGGTATAAGGCTTGGGAAAGGGAGGATTATGTAGAATTAACTTCTGTACAAAGAGCAAGCGTTTTCATGTTGCTGATAGGAGTACAATAAAGTAAAGAGGATGGGAGGTATTTATCAAACCCTTAATGAAGATCGTCATGTATTATAATAAATCGGTGAAGATGACAGTTATTATCTGTCCCACCCACAGGCTTTGAACGTTGTTATTGTCCCTCTCCATACAAGTAAAGGATCTTCTTTAAGACTGAGCAGAAATGGTCTTCAGCTTCCATAAAACTGCACTGTTTTCTGGTTTTAGCCATCACAGGGTTTGGCAGTAGCACTTGGGAATTGTGCAGATTTTGTGCATGTACTTTTGGGTCAATTAAGTTGTTTGCATTACTTAAAACCCATTGTTCACAAACCTGTTGCTAAGTTAAATTCTTTAAATGTACCAATTTGAGCAAAGAATGTATTAAATCTCACTGTGATTTGTTCTTGGGGTTTTTTCTCCTTTTTTCTTGTCAGTTCACAAGACCTGAGGATGGCATTGATTATCCTGACATGGTGAAGGAGGCAGGTAATAATAAAGGAAAGATTAGTTTGCTTGCTGGCACTTACTCTAAGTTTTACAGTTAATCTTTTTATTATACATATGAAGGAACAGCTACTGTTCAGTAAATAGGTGCATATAAGAAGCAAATCTAAAACTGATAAAAAAGAACACTTTTAAAAAAAATCCATAACTGACCCGGTCAACTCAATACCTTCCAGTACTGAAGGACAGCTTAAAATTGAATTGGACACTTAAATAATTTCATACCTACTTACATTATTCAAGCATACTTTCACTGGGACAAACAACCTCTGTGCATGACCACAGAATTGACTGAAAGTTTCTGATAAAGGAGCTTGTTCAGAACTCTAAATACTGCAAAATTGTCCTGATGAGATTTAAGATGCAAGACTATATTAACCATTCCCATTGTATAATAAGGAATTTTTACATCACGCTTTTTTTTGTGAATGCATGAATCCTACATGCTACTCTAGGTGTGCTTGTTATGGTTGTGAGAGCTGCTTTTCCCTGCTCCTCCCCCCTTCAACTTTAAAACTTTTTTTCAGGCCAGAAGGCTTTAGCTGATGCCGGGATTCCTTATTCAGCAGTAGAGCAGGCATGTGTGGGTTATGTTTTTGGTAAGTAATGTCATTTGTTTGGGATGTGACATTTGGAGACATCTGTGTGGATACAGTATGGAGGATCCCATCAATTTCAGGTTATAATATTTAATCGTGTCAGTTCAGAACTGTTTCAAACTCTTAAAATTACTGTTTTTAGTGATCACAGATCTATGTCTGTTTATCTGTGGAGTTTGCAGTTCTAGTCATTGGTATGGGAAGACTGCCATAATTTTATGCCTTGCAAATGTGTTGTATACAAGTAGCTCTTTGAGCAAGATCAGGTGGTATATTTATTCAAGTGGTAAAAAACTTATGTATTATAATGTTTATGGCAATAGACTTGAAAATGCTTTTATTTTTTTTGTATAGTGCTGTGTGTATACTAAAATGGATATGCTTGTTTATCCACTGCTCTTGAGTTGAAGATGCTTGCTAGGGGTATTTTGGGGACACTGTGTCCTTGCACTTTCAGCCCAAGAGAACATAAGAGATATCTACTTGGACTCAATTCTAAGTGATAGATGAGATCTACTCTGAGAGGTTCATAACTATTTTAATCCTATGGACATACATAGAAACATAACCATGGTTTACTGTACTACATAAGATTATTGAGAGGACATGCATTTGTATGGCTCCAGAATAATGCTTCACACCTGATGTAGACAAAACTGAGGTGTTTACATACTGACATGGTGCTGCTCTGCCTTCTTTACCAGCAGGACCCTTGTTGTGGTTTAACCCCAGTTGGCAACTAAGCCCAACTCAGTCACTCACTGCCTCCTCCCTTCCCACACATCTCTTCCCCCCGGTGGGATGGGGGAGAGAATCTGAAGGGTAAAAGTGAGAGAACTCATGGGTTGAGATAAAGGCAGTTCAACAGGTAAAGCAAAAGCTGCGCAGACAAGCAAAGTAAAACAAGGAATTCATTCACTGCTTCCCACCGGCAGGCAGGTGTTCAGCCATCCCCAGGAAAGCAGGGCTCCATCACATGTAACAGTGACTTGGGAAGACAAACGCCATCACTCTGAACATCCCCCTCTTCCTCCTTCTTCCCTCAGATTTATATGCTGAGCATGATGTCATATAGTCTGGAATATCCCTTTGGTCAGTTGGGGTCAGCTGTCCTGGCTGTGCCCTTTCCCAGCTTCTTGAGCCCCCCAGGCTACTCGCTGGTAGGGTGGGATGAGAAGCAGAAAAGGCCTTGACTCTGTGTAAGCCTGGCTCAGCAGTAACTAAAACATGCCTGTATTATCAATGCTGTTTTCAGCACAAATTCAAAACACAGCCCCATGCTAGCTACTATGAAGAAAATTAACTCTATCCCAGCCCAAACCAGCACATTCTCCACCCCTTATTCCATACCATTTACATCACACTATCCAATAGGTTCTCACTAACCCCTACCCCCTTTCCCATCCTTAGATATAATACACAGATATCATTTCCTTAGTCTGTGGACTACACCTGTAAAACATCTGCAAAATGTGCATTGAATTCATTTAGTCCATGACTTTGGGCTCCATCTGTTATGCTGCTCACTCAGGACAGGAGAGGTGGTGTGTTGTGTGGAATTACTGGGCACCTAAGCCAGCTCAGGTCACTGTTGCACTTGCACTGCTTCTTGTAAGGCTTGTCCTCCACTGGTTCAGGTGGTTCCTGCTATAGTAATTCCCATAACATGCAACTTAAATCATGGGTTGCAACAATTTAAAGGTATTTCTATTATAATCTTCACTCCAGGTCCCTTTGGGCCAGGTTATAGGGTTTAACATTGCGATGAACTTCTCCCCTTGCTTATTGCCTGGCTAGCAACAAGGGGTTCCTGCTATAGTAATTCCCATAACATGCAACTCAAATCCTGGGTTGCAACAGTTTAAAGGTATTTCCATTATAATCTCCACCCCTGGTCCTTTTGGACCTGACCATTGTGTTGAACATTGCAATGAACCCACACACACACACATACCTTGCCCCTGCTCTGGCTTAGACTGATCCCCAGACTGCAGTCCCTTAGGGTTGTACCTGCTCCAACTTATCTGTGGAGCCTTGATCTGTGAGCCGCAGTCTCCCCAGGAGCATACCTGCTGTGGCATAGACTTCTCCACAGCCACAGTTGCTTTGAGGTTCACCTGTTCCAGTGTGACCTTATCGTTGGGCCACAGTCCCTTCAGAGGTACACCTGTTGTGACACAAACATAACCATGGCCACAGATGCTTTGAGATGTTTCTGCTCTGGTGTGGACTTCTGCACAGCTACAGACGTTTCAGGGTATCCTGCTCCCACATGGACTTACCCACAGGTCACAGTCCCTTCGACTTGAGTTCACACTGGAGTTCCAGCCTGTCCAGTACAGCAGCACAGAAACAGCAGCAATGTCCTCATCATCTGCCAGCCCAGGCGCGTGGCCATGGCTGTTGCCAAATGTTCCCAGGCACAGTATAGTAAGATGATAAGTAGTGAAAGCAAAAAGCAGCCACTAATGAGCACTAGACTCTAATGTACAGTAAGGCAAGCAAGCCCCATGGCAAGCACGGAAGCCTGCTGATTAATAGCTAAACAGCAATAACAGCTATAAATTTGATCTAGCACATTCCAATCAAATCTGTTGTCATCTCAAACCCTTCGAGCCCCACACTAGGTGCCAAAAAGGACTGTTGTGTTTTAACTCTAGCTAGCAACTAAGCACCATACAGCTGCTCACTCATTCCCCCTGTGGTGGGATGAGGAGGGAATCCAAAGAGTAAAAGTGAGAAGACTTGTGGGTTGAGATAAAGGCAGTTTAACAAGTAAAGCAGAAGCTGCACAGTCAAGCAAAGTAAAACAAGGAATTCATTCACTGCTTCCCACCGGCAGGCGGGTGTTCAGCCATCCCCAGGAAAGCAGGGCTCCATCACACGTAACGGTGACTTGGGAAAACAAACGCCATCACTCTGAACATCCCCCCCTTCTTCTTCCCCCAGATTTATATGCTGAGCATGATGTCGTATGGTCTGGAATATCCCTTTGGTCAGTTGGGGTCAGCTGTCCTGGCTGTGCCCTCTCCCAGCTTCTTGAGCCCCCCAGGCTACTCGCTGGTAGGGTGGGATGAGAAGCAGAAAAGGCCTTGACTCTGTGTAAGCCTGGCTCAGCAGTAACTAAAACATCCCTGTATTATCAACACTGTTTTCAGCACAAATTCAAAACACAGCCCCATCTACTATGAAGATAATTAACTCTACCACAGCCCAAACCAGCACAACCCTTAAACAGATTTCTAGTAGACACCCTCAGCAGAAGCTTTTAACTTGCAGTCACTGCTTATTGTAGTGAGAGGAGATGGTGTTAAATGGCTGGTTTGAACCTTTTCCTGTCACTCTAATTCACAGATGTCTGATGTATTTCTCAAAGCAGTCAAAATCAGATTTGTATCATGGAGAAATCTGTTCCCATTCCAAAGAGAGTTTTCCATTTACTTTCTTCCTGATTCTCTATTAATTTAAGACTCTACTATGGCAACTGAAGTAGGGTCAGTTAGCTGTGATAGCAGCTTCCAAGCCACTCTGTTCTGACCAGTTACCTTCTGTTAATCCATGGTCTGTTATCACAGAAGCAGGACAAAGTTCTGTTTTTAAAATCTGTTTATTTTCATCTTGTTTCTGAGGTTCTTGTACTGCGGGTACTTGAGAGACATACCCAAGATGACAATTCAAAAGTTCAAGTTTGCAGTTTAAGTGGTAACATTGCACATAGATAGTGGGATTTCTTTTTGCTAGTGAAGTTTGAGTATGTACCTTATTTTAATGTGTCTCTGTATAAAGGTGAGTCAACCAGTGGACAACGGGCTATCTATCATAGTTTGGGTTTAACTGGCATTCCTATCATTAATGTCAACAACAACTGTGCTACTGGATCAACTGCTTTGTTCATGGCCAGACAACTAATAGAAGGAGGTGAGTTGTTTTGCTCTGGGGCAGGGTAATACATATTCTCTATTTCGATAAATATAACTAGGATGAAGAACTGGACTAGTGAATGTGTGAATACTCTTGAGTTGTAAATGTCCTATCCTAAGAGGCAGAATTGGTTTTCTGCCTCACTCAGCTAAAAAGGTTGGTCAGTTGTATATGCAAATATAAGACCAAGCACTTAAAAGAGTAAAGCTGTCACTATGAACTAGAGCATTATATGTGCACCAAAGAGACCATGTCTGTGATGCAGTAGGATGGTGTATATGGATATAAATGGCCTTTCCTGTGTCATAAGCTGTATGAACCTAGTAAGTAGTGAGCTGGCTAAGTTTTTTCTGGAAGAATTGTTTGCAGTAGTGCAGAACGAGTTGTATTACAGTATTGCAAGACACTAGATTCTGCAGGTTGAGAAGGAAAGAAGAATCTGCTAAAAAAATTAGATTTTTTTTTTTCTTTTTTTTTTTTTAACTTGAAGTTAACACAAGTGTTTGACTAACACATTTTTGGAAGGGGGGGGAAGAGAGTAATGCATTGTGACAGACTGCTTTGAATTGACAGATGAGCATTTCCTTCTATTTCTGCAGTTCCTTTGTGGACTTTGATACTTTCTTGCACCTCAATGCTGATGTTTCTGTAATGAAAACTATAGTAACATTCTGTATGATTATTCTAGTATCTGTAGCAGACACATACGTGCTTGGTCATCTAAGATAATTGCTGTCAAACAGTTTAAAAATAAACCCAAACCTCATAATGCTCTCTCATTCTTCAGTATCAATATGTTTGTATCAATACCATTCCCATCCCAATTTGACTCTTTCAAAAACAAAGGCTGCTAGGTGTTTATGTATATTTCTTGTAATTGAATGGTTGTTAGTACATAATGTCATTTATAATTACATTGTGTTTTAAATAGCCACAAATTTTATTTTAAGGTTTGGCAGATTGCGTTCTGGCTCTTGGCTTTGAGAGGATGGCAAAAGGATCCCTTCGTGCAGGTGTAAGTGTCTGAAACACTTCATACATTTTATTGTATTTGTAGATGAAATACATCTCATCCTCTGAGACATATTCTCATAAATACCCAGTTGCTTTAAGATGTTGCTATAGGTGATTACAAAATTTTGATTTTGTATTTTGATTTTGATCATTATTTTGATCCATAGAAACTTTTAATGAGTTTTACAATTCTGATTGCAGCTATGATATATAAATTTTGTATGGAAAATTTTAGAATTAATTTTATGTAGTATGTCATGCTTTTAGTATTTTGCCAAGAATATGCTAAAGGCAGGGTTAATAGGGAATAATGAAAATACCAGATAGAATACTGAAGCATTGAGCAATTGAAGTGTCTTTCTCAAAATGATACATCATATCAAAGAAAGAGTCTGGGTCTTCTGCCTTTTAGCTTGATGCTTACTCAGTTGACCAGATAACACACTTTCCCAAAAGCTAAAGGCTTCTGTAAACCTTTCTTTGTTGTCTCTTTGTTTTTACTGGAGAATTGTGTATGTGGGTTGTTTGTATTTTGCCTTATGGCAAGCAATATTAGAGCCCATATGTCATTTAACTACAGAACTGCCAAATTTGGTAACTTATGCAGAGATTTGGGTGAGAAATGTTAAATTTAACCACTGATTGAAATGAGTAAGAGTTATCTTTAACGTGCTTTACGATACTTCATCTAAGCTTCGTTGAAAACATTAATACAGTATTAATTTTATAACTTGGCACTACATTAACTATATGATTTTAAACGGAGGTGAAAAATACCTGGAGTCCTCTGCTGAAAATAGTGACGGATAGAAATCACATAGGAGTGGTCCTTGCCATGACTCAGTGTGGTGATTATAATGCTAAACATTTTCTGCTTATTTACTCTTTCTTATAGTTGGGAAATTATGAATGATTCAAAACATGTCACTGAAGTGCAACAATACTGACCAGTGGAATTGTTAAAATATCAGAAAAACCGCTATTTTGCTTGAAATCCATGGCACTTCTGTGGTGATGTTGTAAAGAAAAGGAAATTATGACTTGCTTTATAACTATTTATCTTCTTTTTAGCATTCTAACAGAACTGATCCAATGGACAAACATTTGGAAGTTATGATAAATAAATATGGTTTATCAAGTGCTCCATTAGCACCTCAGATATTTGCAAGTGCTGGCAAAGAATATATGGAGAAATATGGTATGTTAAAATACATTTTTTCATTGGCCTTTTTTAAAGAAGTGATTTAAAAAATATATATAATAGGGTTTAGTTTTTAAAAACTGTTAGCATTCAGTGTCCTTTCTTTTACCCAAGTACTACAACTGCAATATCTACGGCTAACATGTACGAAAACACATTTGGATAAATAATTATCTACAGAAAAGTTGGTGATGTGTAGTCAAACAAAACCATCAGGAGACAAAATTAAGGCTGTGATGCAGAGTGTCTGGTAATCATGCTAATGGTATAGTTTGGACCTTCCATAAGCTCTGGGCAATAAGGTTGCATAACTTCCTGCATTTTTTCCTTGTGTCTTAGGATGGGTAGATAGGCTTAGGACTGAGCTGTTTGACAAAACTTTTCAGGTATTTGATTCAATATATAGTACTAGATTGCTGTCACTGCCATTTCTTACCCTCTCACCAGACAAGGGAATTGGCTCCAAGGTAATAGGCTGGCCTGTTGAGCATCTTTTATTTGCACTTAGTTTTAGACTAGTATATGGAAAAATTTTAGACTTGGACTCCAGTATTTCACTGCAGCTGTTTTGCACTGATAGGAAAAATGAGCATTCAAGTTTCAGCAATATAATAATACCTCAAATAAAATGCACTTATTTTCTGTATTTTTACGTTAGTAAGTGTTAAATATCCAAGTAGGATGTTCTGTTAGCTAAAACTCAACCATGTTTAATAGTCTTTATCTAATTTTTAGATGTAAGTTGAGTTCTAAGGATAGCCTTATAACAATGAGTTTCTTGTAAAGATACTTCTAAAGGTCAAATTCACAATATTTAAAATGCTATGTTAGCACTGTTTGGGTAAACAAAGTATTTCAAGAGAGCTTTCTTTCCCCTTCCAGGGACAAATCCAGAATACTTTGCAAAAATTGCATGGAAGAATCATACCCATTCAACTAAAAACCCGTGAGTAATGTACTCTACCTCTATACTGAACATATGTTGCTGTTAAAAAAATAATGCAAAACTGAGTATTATTTTTATAAATACTTTGCAGGGTATATTCTTTATTACAGAATGAGAATTATACCCAGCATAAATTCTACATCCAGTGTCTTATACTTTGTAGAAACAGCTCTAAAGCTGCTTAATAGTATGATATTAGGATGTCTACTGCTAAGGGCTGTGCTAAAACTAAGATGGCATCTCTATGTTTTTCTTAGGTATTCCCAGTTCCAAAAGGAGTACACATTAGATGAAGTTCTGCAGTCCCGCAAAATTTTTGAATTCTTGACTGTCTTACAGTGTTGGTAAGGAGAGGACTTAGCATTGTGAAATAAATCTTGATGTTAAGACAAATATGGTAGGACATTTATTTAAATAAAAGTCTGCTTGTATGTAAATTAAAATTTACAGATTATTTTAAGTAAAACTTCTTATAAATAAAACAAATGTGGAATCTCTGTCTGGACCAAACCCTATCTAGATACTTGTTCACAGTATCATACAGTAAGCTGAAGTATGTTTTGTACTTTGGGGCTTTCGCGTCTTTTGTGTCTTTTACCAGTGCACATCCATTGCTGTTAAGTGTTAATTCTTCTCTTCAGCCTTTCCTGTACCCTTCTGAAAGACTTGTTGTTAATAATGTTTATAGCCAAGTAGAAGCTTTGATTTTTTTCCAAATTGAAAAACCTTAATGATAAGTTTCTTTTTTGATGTCATGCTTTTCAAATGTCTGTTATAAATGTTACTGAAAGTGTCCAGCAAATACCGATGGAATTTATAGTTTCAGTGGCATCAGCCAAAGAAAGTGGTTTTTCGTTTGGCCTTTTTTGGTTTTTGTGTTTGTATTAAAGGATAATTCTATGAAAGATTCACATTACTGACTGAGAATAATGACATAATTATTTTTCTTTTAACCAGTCCAACATCAAACGGTGCTGCAGCTGCAATTTTGAGTAGTGAGGAGTTTGTAAAAAGGCATAAGTTGCAGTCAAAAGCTGTGGAAATTCTAGCCCAGGTGATGGTTACTGATTATCCAAGCACATTTGAAGAAAACAGCTGTATTAAGATGGTAGGTTTACAATTCTGTATTCCGTGATACCCCTCAGGGTTTCTTTTTTAATACCTGCAAGTCCTGATGGTGATACCGTAGACATTTCCATGTCAGTAAGCAAACAAATTATACTTTGTGGTGAATGTAAAGGTAATTTAATTTGGGCAGGTGGAGTAAGCAGAGTATAGTTATGGAATAACAGCAAGAAATTTATAAACAGGCTATCAAAAACCTAGTTTTCAACAAATAATTTAAAGGCCACTTTTTAAATAATTCGAACAGCAAGAAACACATTTCTTTAATTTTTCTGTTTATGAGAGTGGTGACACTTAAAACAATTTTACTTATGTCAGTGTAATACTGAAGCTGAAATAACCCATTGGGTATAGTCATGATTACTTAAGTAGAATGAAGGGAAAGACGTGAACTGCAAAATTTGGATCCCACAGCAAATTGACTAAAATAATTTGATGTAAATTAAACCATTAGAATACCCAATAGTTTCTACTCTAGTCCTGTTCTGTCTAGGTTTCAAATACAATTCTAGTCAGGTGGCTGACAGAAAAAGGTAGCAAGACAGTTTGAGGATTTGATTCAAGGCTGTTGGTCTGTGTCATGCAGAGGAGCAATTTGGCTTGTGAGCAAGGTTGAGAAAATAGAGGGTATTCCCCAGAAAAGTTTCCACATGCCAACAATGAGATTTGGAATGTATTTCTTTCTATACAATTCATACTGTATGAATATTAAATGCTGTGATATGTGATGCATTAAAATAAATTAGAATGCCACCTCCTGCAGGTTACTTTCACTTACAGAATATACAGAAGCATGTTTAAAATGAAGTGTAGAAATGAAATTGCTAGCTATGTTTCTTTAATGATATTTTAACGTACAATTTCTTCTGGCTGCAGGCTGGCTATGATATGACTAAAAAAGCTGCAGAAAAATGTTTTGAAAAAGCAGGCCTAAAACCTACAGATGTCAATGTGATCGAACTTCATGACTGTTTCTCAGTTAATGAGTTCATTACCTACGAAGCTCTGGGACTCTGTCCAGAAGGTAATTGCATCCTTGTTTTATTGAAATGGAAAGTATTAAAAGTATCTTTTTATCTGTTCATATAATTAGAACTTTGAGTTGTCTACTGGACAGATCTTCTATATTTGAAAATCTTATTAGCTAACCTCATAAAAGGGAAAAGCAAGTTACCACTGTAGTAACATAAGCAAGACCTGCAAACTGTAGAATTAGATTAACAAATTAGTGTGTTACTGTGATTTCTGAAGAAATATACAAGGCAAATTAAAGCGTTGGACAACTATGAGAAATCATATGGGTAGCTTGTGCAGGGATGGCTCTTTTAAGCAAGCAGAGCCAGGAAATTAAGGCCTCCTGTGAGCTTTCTCAGTATGATGCCCCTTTTTCAGGGCTATATACTTATGTGCCCCAAGATTTCCCTTCATCTTTCTATTTCCTTTTAAGAAGATAAAAATCAGACAAGAATTACCTTTAGAGGGCCTTACCAAGTTACTTATCTTTGATCCAACTTTTTTTTTTTACATCTTGAAACATCTTTGCCTTTGAAAATACAGAGTTGTTGGCAAGTTGTGAACATGCCTCTAAAGTCAACTGTATAACGATGCACAATCTGTCCAGATTAGTTTAATTTGATTGAAATGAGTGGATTTACAACAGGTTAAATGGCAGTGGAGTTTAGTTCTCTGTCAAATCATTCAAATTTTCTACTAAAGAGGTTTTTGTTTGATTTCAAATAAATCATGCATTGAACTGCTACTTCTGTATATGATATATTTAAACTCTAAATGTATTCTTGCTGTGCATAAATAATCATCTGATGTACTCTTTCTCTAATTTGTTTTTAACTAATTTGAGAAAATATCATACTCAGTCACTAGATGGTGTATTGTATTAAGTCTAAGCTTTCTCACTGAAGCGGAGTTCGTAGATCTTCAGGAAGACTTTTTATGTGTTTGTAGATCTTCAAATATTTGCCTTTGAATGCTTGCTTGTTACTGTTGTCTTTGCTGTGTTTTTATGGTATCTGCAGTAAAAATGGTAAATGTTTGACATTATTTAAATAGGTACATTAAGCTTTTTAAGCTTCTTTCCTTTGAAGATACAGAAGAATCCTGATGGTACTTGTCTATTTCATCAATAAGTCTTGTGTGTGGTAATTTAATGCAATTCCTACCACCTTTCAGTCAGTCTGACCTTACTAGTAAGTGAAACTTACCTGGGAACAGTAGACTAATTAGACATAGAGATTAGTGAAATGGCATAAACCACATTGTGGATTTAGATGTGCAAGACTAACCTGCTATTCTCATTTAATGGCAGAAGCAAGTTATAAGTACAGGAAAGGTGGCAGATCTTTTTTAGACTTTGATGTTAATAGTGTAGGCTGAAAAAGCTGCTACAATAATAAAAGAGTAAGGGACTGGTTAAAGGGGAGAACTGTCTGCTGAAGGCATGGGAACTAATAGTCTGGAAAGCTAAGCAATTCTAAGCATTAGTCTTATGAGTGGTTGTATTTACTATCTTAATGGCTTAATGCAGCCCAGGGTACCGTTAGCCTTCTTTGTGGCAAGGGCTCATGTTCAGCCTGGTGTTCACCAGGACCTGGGGTCCTGGGGGTCACAAATTATGACTAACCCCTCTTTTACGAAAAACATAATTATCACTGCAATTTCATTAATGAAATAATAATGAACAGCATTATATCAACTATATCATAATACTGTATATCAACAAAACAGCAAATTTAAAAAAGCTTTTGTATCAAAGGCTAGCCCTTTTACTTCTTTTCCATGTTGCTCTTTCTCCAGTAGCATAAGCAAGTCTCATTAATGTAGTTTGGCTAATTTCAATCTGTCCTTTGCAAAATCTGTGGTGCAGTATTTCCTAGGTTTTGACTGACATGCAGCATCTTTAGTAAGTGACAGTAGACGTGAAAAATCACTGAAAACTGAAAAAGGAACATTTTTGTTTTGTAACTGCTGTTTTCTAGGAAGAG